AGGGAATTCCGTGGCGGTCCAGTGGTTAGGACTCGGCGCTTTCACTTCCAGTGCTTGGGTTCGATTCCTGGTCAGGGAACTAAGATACCACAAGCCGAGCAGCACAACCCCCACCAAAAAAAAAGATTTAAAAAAATGAAATGGTAAGATAATCTTGAAGGTGGTGTATTAATAAAGACTCACTGTTACAAGCGAAAAAAATCAACTCATACTCAAGCAAATCTGGGAGTTATTTATTTATTTATTTATTTTTGGCTGCGTTGGGTCTTTGTTGCTGCGTGCGGGCTTTTCTCTAGTTGCGGCGAGTGGGAGCTACTCTTCGTTGCGGTGCGTGGGCTTCTCATTGCGGTGGCTTCTCTTGTTGTGGAGCACGGGCTCTAGGCGCACGGGCTTCAGTAGTTGTGGCTCTTGGGCTCCAGAGCGCAGGCTAGAGCTCAGTTGTGGCACACGGGCTTAGTTACTCGGCGGAATGTGGGATCTTCCCGGACCAGGGCTCGAACCCGTGTCCTCTGCACTGGCAGGCGGATTCTTAACCACTGCGCCACCAGGGAAGTCCAAATCCGGGAGTTGTTTGAATTGTGTAACTGAATGGTCCAGGGGAAGTTCTTGCTTCAGGCAGAGTTTGATCCAGATATTTAAATGATGCTAGAAATCTCTCTCCATATTTGAATCCTATTTTTCTGTCTTGGCTTCATGCTCAGGGAAGCTGTCTTACATCAACCTACTGGCTTAGCAATGTTAGCACACAGTGCATCTCAGCCAAAAGTTGTAGCAGACAGCAAGGTGCTGAAACTCATAGCTTTGCTTAAGTCATGAGCTCATCTCAGCGAAAGAGGATATGGTGTTCTGATTGGCTATGCCTGAGTCACATGCCCTTTGAAGGGGGAGTGATAGAGGAGCTAGGCAGGTAAGAATAGCAGATGTTGGACACAGGTGCTATCATAGAAAATAAACATACATATGGGCTTAAGTCCAGGCCCTGTCACTAACTAGCTAGGTAATCCTGAGGAAATTACCTTGGTTTCCTCATCTGAAAAATAGGATGCGTCTCTATTGTGTGGGATTAAATGAGAGAAGGTAACCAAAGGTACGTCATGAGGTAGGAGCACAACACATGTTCAGCCTAGGATGCTATGACTTTAAGTTAAAGATTCTAAACAAATACTTTACTTCAATAAAGGAACAGTTCTTTGAAGAATAACTTTCCTTGTGTAATCTCCTGTAGAGTGAGGGCTCCTAATCTTCAGCTGAACAAACACAGATTTGATATTCAACAATGCTTTGACAATTCAGTTATGGAGATTTCTGTTTAGAAAAGAAAAAAACTTTCTTTTTTTTCTGGCCACACCGCATGGCTTGCGAGAATCTTAGTTCCCTGACCAGGGATCCAGCCCTCGCCCTCGGCATTGAAAGTGCAGAGTCCTAACCACTGGACCGCCAGGGAATTCCCTAGTTTTCTTGTTTACTCAAGATAAATTTAGCTAAAAGCTTCTTTTGGGTTCAACTCTTGGCATTTGAGAATCACTCTAAATCGTCTGAATCCGTTCTCTTGCTCTAAATCCATTCTACTGAATACATTTGATTTGTTTTTTCATAGTAGAGGATCTTAGAACACTTTAGGGCTTTAAAAAAAAAACAACATTTATTTATTTATTTATTTATTGCTGCATTGGGTCTTCGTTGCTGCGTGCAGCCTTTCTCTCTAGTTGCGGCGAGCGGGGTCCACTCTTTGTTGTGGTGCGTGGGCTTCTCACTGCGGTGGCTTCTCTTTGTTTCAGAGCTCAGGCTCTAGGCGCATGGGCTTCAGTATCTGTGGCGCGTGGGCTCAGTAGTTGTGGCTCATGGGCTTAGTTGCTCTGCGGCATGTGTGATCTTCCCGGACCAGGGCTCGAACCCCTGTCTCCTGCATTGGCAGGCAGATTCTTAACCACTGTGCCACGAGGGAAGTTCCCACTTTAGGGCTCTGTAGGTCAAAGAGTTAGTGCCAAGAGATCTTCTCACAGCAGATGCTGGATCTTCCATGATCCAGCATGCATTATAAACTAGGATACCACTGGAGCCAAGAAAAGTGACTCAAAGTAACCATACTCACAAAAGACTGATGCTATTATTTGTATAGCAATTTATTTTTGATCAGGATAGTGTTCTGAGACCATAAAATATCAACGTTTCCCATCCAGGAAAGCCCCTCCCCTGTGCCAGAAGACAGAATTCATTAGCCAGTAGCTCAGTAGGCATGGATGGAATCAGTCTTGAGGACCACTTCACTGGGCCATGGTGAGGTCTGACAACACCACCATGGTGACCCAACTCATTGTACCAAATACAGCATCTGCCAACCTCTGCAATTTTGAGCTTCTCTTTTCAGGCTCCCAGTTGACTATTGCTCTTTGAGTCCCATCATCTCATCTCTATCTGGTCCACCATCTGTAACTGGTCCAGTTGATGAGATGTCCACTGAATTATAATCACGATCCCAGTCCTGCCTTCCTGAAGTTTCACTGGGTCTCCATGATGGAAATTTGTGTGTGATCCCAAATTCTTCAAGTGTCCACTTCTGTCCTACCTGCACAGGTAGCTAATCCCTTCCTGTATGGGTTTTACTAGTTAACCCATAGAAATAGCCATATTTCCCTAGTGGTCAAGTTCTTGGGCACCCTTCATAGATACTACCAAGTTTTCCCAAGAAGGGAACTCACTTGGACCATGAATTCATGGCAGTGGCAAAAGAAAAGGTGTAGGGCTGGGAATGAATCAATACTGACATGAACACATAGGGAAGAGATTCCTCCCATGGGTTTGTCACATTTCTTTTTCTTTGAAAGCTGAAAACAATGTTTTCATTAATCAAGGCATTTGGTTAAAATAGCAAATTGATGTTTGAAGATAATACTTCTGTTAAGGACAAACTCTGACAGAATTCTGCTTTGTTTCTCTACCTCAACTTCCACACCTTTGCATCTCCGGTTTTAGTCTGATTACATTCAAACCCTCTGCTCTTGTCTTCTGCCTGCGTTTACTTCCAACTGTCGCAGTTTCTCCTCAGTCTCTGTTCATCATTTTCCCCCTTTGTGCTTTGGTTTTAATGACTCTCTGATGGGGATAGCTCAGAATCCCTCTCTCTCTTTTATCCCGTCTCTACGATGGCTTTTCCTCTCTCCATCTCTGTGCTCCCTCCTTTTCCTGTTCCTTCCTCTGGATGTTTATTTCACCATTCTGCCCTCCCCCACCCCCATTTTCTGTGCTTCTCTTCAGTCCCTTTGCTTATTCTTCTGTCATTTCACATCCCCGATTCTTACTTCTCATCGTCCTACCAGTCTCTGCCTCTCAGTTCCTGTCAACCCCTGTCTCTGGGTTGTGCACTGTAGCTGTTTGTCCTTTGTCTTTCTGCCCATCTCCAACTCAACATATTGCCTGCTTTTTCTGTCAATGAATCTTTCCATTGACTGCCTCCTCCACCTTCTGTTCTTCTGCTTCTCAGCTCCCCTGACTCATCCCCCTCATCTCTATTTCCACCTCTCTCTCGTCTCCCTCTGCTAATCTACCAGCCACTATTACCTCTGTCTCCTGGGAGTCTGGTGGTTCCTCCTTGTCACTCACTCTCCCTGTTTCACTGTCTAGACTATCTGTACCTTCCACCTTTGGGATCCCTTCCTGTCAGCCTTTATTTCCATTTTGCTTGTCCTCTTTGTTTATGACCATTTAACCAACTCTATGATTTTCGTTCTTCTCTGCATCTATAACAGACTTTCTCTATTTCTGCCAAGGATTCTTTCTTGCCCTCCATCTCTCTTCGTCTCTGTCTTCTCTGCAGCAAATCTTTTTCTATCTGTCCTTCAATCAGTATATGTCTGTTTCTTTCATTCCCTTTGTCTCTCTCGAGCTCCACTTTATGCGTTCATCTTCCTGTCTCTGGCTTTTGCTCATGTACCTTTTCTGTGGATAATTAAGGGTTATCTATTTCTGTCCATTGTTTAGTAGAATAGCAACTTTAATCTGCTTACACTTCCCATAACCTGGATGTTCTGCCTGAAGAAGGGAGGGGTCTTGTGCCACAGAAAACAATGCAGTAGAAGCAGCAGGGGAGAAAGGGGAGCTTGCAAATGAATCCCAGAAGAGAGTCAGATATTCCTTAACTCCTCTGCAGCCTGAGCAGAAGCCGTACCTCATCTGCTTCTGCCTCTGCCCTCGTTCTTCCATGAAAGCCTGGCCCTGGGAAGACCCTACACTGGGCACCCAGAATGGGTGGTTGAGTTCCTGCTATGGCTCTGGACTTCAGGACAGTCCTGAGAAGACAGACCTAGCCCCGTGCTCATTCCTCTAAGAACCTGCATTTTCTTTGAAAAGGTCAGAAGACACTAAGAAAAAGCAAAAGGAACATGCTGGACACAGTAGGACTAGGGTGAAGTGCAAACAGAATAGTGTGACTTTGAGAACCAGAAACATCACCAGCAATTGTTGTGGTCCAGTTTCTTCCGTCTCTTGGCAACCGTTATGTCCATCCCTACTGGCTATGCATAGCACCTGTTCACCTGTCGTGCCCCCCTCCCTCTGCCATAATTTGGTCATAGGTGAGGTCTCTCTTCTCTCCAACCCCACCCCTTTGGTACTAGATCTCTCTCTGATCCTATTAGGACTTCATCTTTCCTCATCCGTTCCTGTGCTAAAGCATAGGGTCTCTGTTCCCATTGGAACAGCTTCATGCATCCTGCCACCCTTTATTGGTAACACAGGCTATACCTCTGGAGTTAGTTTGCTGGAAAGGGCCAGTCAACTGATGATGGGATTCAGTGAACAATAGCTCAGGTTCCCACCCACCCATGAATATTAGCATTTCTTCTCAGATCATAGGAATGTAGGAGTTAGCTGGAAGAGGAACTGAGATACTGAAAACCCAGTCCAGGCCTTACCCCTGGGGGACAGTGCATTGAAGACCACCAACTCCTTGTCCTGGTTTTACCTCCTCCAGGACTGGCAGAGGAGGAGCCTGAGGCTTCTCTTCAGTCTTTCAGGCTGAGAGTAAGGTCATCCCTGGTGACAGGCTCACCATCGCAACAAGTCCTGGTGCCCTTGGTTTCCTTGTGCTCAGGGATGGGTGGGCGGGGCCGAGACCGCAGGACATCACTGACCAAAATGCGGACACCCAGTGTGATGCTCGTAGCGCCCACAGTGACCAGTCCAGTTCCACCAAGGATGACCAGAGCAATAGGTACCTGGTGGTGTTGCCGGATCAGCCACAGACTCATCCATCCCAGCGGAACCAGGCGGAAGAGGGCCAGGGTAGCCAGAGTGGCCCAGCTGGTCACACTGAAGGCCAGGGATGGGGCCTGGCGAGAAAGCAGCAGCAGCTTTCGTAGGTGCAGGCAGGTGGAGTTCAGCTCCAGGAGCAGAGAGACCACAGAGAAGCCCACATAGTGGCCAGAGAGAATGGCGGTGCTGAGGCAGCTCACTACCTGGGGAGCCAAGGTCAGAGGTCAGAGGAACTTCCATGACCTACCACCCATCATGTTCCAATATCCCAGTCCTTGAGAAGGGCTCCCAAGCATTTTGTGGCACCCCTCCCCGAACCCCAACCTTATGCTTACCCTTATGGTAGGGGCGTGAATGGGCTTGAAACAACCCTTCCATAGAATTGAAGCAGCTTTGGCGCCTAGGCTGTCTGCCCTGGAGCTGCAGCATCTGCACGGAACCCCACCCCCCTTCATTTGCATTCCTGTGCTTTCACACCCTATCCCCACGCCCTATAATGGGGCTCCCTATTCTCAGAAAAGCTCCACAGTCAACGTTTCCCACACCTGTGGGAATACAATCTCCATAGACAGTGCTCAGATTCCCAGCAGTGGCCAGCAGTCAATCCCCTCCCCACCCCCCCAACTCAGCCTAAGGTTGGGAGGATCAAGCGCCAGCAGGGCACCAGCAGACTCTCTGGGAAGTCATAGGACAGAAAATTAGTGAGAGATTGGGGACCCCAGGCTAGGCATCCCTCCTTTCCTGTCCTGCCTCTCCCCAAGTCTCACCACCAAATGGTGACAAAGAAGTTCCCAGGCCTGGCCCAACGTCTGGTTCCACAGCATGTCAGCTCCATCGGCTAGGAAATAACCTGGGGGCAAGGAGGGGAGGGTGGTGTTAGGCTTCCCCCAAGCCAGCGTACAGTCTGGAGAGGAATCTCCACTCCCTCCTTTTCCCAGCTCTTGAGTTTCTCTCAGTAAAGCCGCCAGAAACATTTAACCCCATCGCGGGCCGGGCCGGGGAAGGAGATTCCACCGTTGGAAGGTTGTCCCCCACCCCAAACTGGTTCAGCCTTCCCTGCAGACTCACCCACAGATATAGCCACCAGCACCAGGGCCCAGGGCGGGTGGCCATGAATCGGGTCGGCGGCCATCTGAGGGTACAGCGACAGCCTGGAGGAGATGGGGGAGCCATGGTCAGCGTCTGTGCAGACCCAGATCTTATTCTCCCGCCGTGGACGTATCCACACCGCCCACCCATCTACATCCCCACCCCAGTCTCAGACTCTCGAGGCCTCACATTGATTCTAAAGGTGCCGCCGTGTCTTCTAATCTCAGCCTTCCACCCCTCTCTCTCACCCTCACTCACCACGGTGCCTCCCAAACCTCTAAGCCCCGCACCCGAGCAGCGCCCCGGCCCCCGTAAGCAGGCTGTGAACCAGGGAGACACAGATGTTCCGCCACTTCCAACGGTCCTGGGCAGCAGATCCGGGCGTGGGCAGAAGCTGCAGCCCCCAGTGCAGCCCCCGGAAGGCGGCGAAGGAGGCGCCGGTCACGAGGAGCCCAGAGGGCGCCATGGCCTGGCGGGCTGGCTCGGTCCGGATCCGTCCCTTGGGCTCCTGAGCTCTCAGTCCCGACACATCCAACGCCCCCTGCGGGGACTGCGAACCAGCTTCCCGGCAAGGCTGCACCCCTGGACTCCCCCGCCCACCCAGCCTACGGATTCCGCCTTAACTTTTCCAGGGCTCGTCCACGCCCCCAACCCCCGGCTGGGTGGTGATTGGAGCAGCCGTGGGCCACCGCCCCTGGAGCCACAGCAACCGATCGTGTCCCGCCCCAGCGGGGGATGTCTGGTAGGGGGCTTCCCGGGACCAAACCCTGAAACGGAGCTCAGGGAGGCTTTCCGGGATGTCGATAGGGGTCTTCCCAAGCCCCATGTGTCCCCAAGTCCTCGCAAATCCAGAAATGGGTGACTAATCTCACCTGACACTCCCAGAGGCCCAGCCCCATTAACTTTCCCCTCCTTTCCCCTCTCTAACCTCTCACCTGCTGCTTTTCCGACCCACCCCACCCACGCAGCCCTGAAGTTAGAGGCCAGAGCAAACCCACTCCCACGTGCTTACGCCTCGCCACCAGTCTGCCCCGCGCCCCACCCCGGTCTCGGTTATGGGGAAGGGGGCAGCTCACTTCCTTAGAGCCACCACTTCCGAGGTTTCCAGACCTTTAACACATCCCAGCAACTCCGTAACTCCAGAAGTCCTGCGCCCTTACATAGTACCTCTCATAGGGAACAAGAGCTCCCATTTTGGAGAAGCGACCCACCGGGGCTCCTCCTCTAAGCTCTTTTGGGGGCCTTTCAGAGGAGCCTTATTATTAGGAAGGGGAGGCAAAAAGGAATCACTCAGCCCTATAGCCTTGAAAAGCACCGCTCCCCCAGGGTTTGGTACCTGTTTAGGGGGTGAGTATCTCTTCCAATCTGAGGAGGCAAGGAGAGGTCACGCAGGGTCACCTCAAGATTGGGGCAGAATCAAAGAGAAAAACAAAGACCCATCTTGCTTTTAGAGACAGGACTGTTAGGATTCTAGAACCTTTCGGCCTTGGGGGCGGGGAGATTTCCCTCTCCTGAAGACTGACAGGTTTTTACTTGTTTTCCTTCTGTCTTACTCCACTCCACACCTCTTTAGATGGCTGTCGCCAATTCAGAGAGCTGTTCCCTGTACAGGAGAGGGTGGATTCCAGCCACTCCCAAAGAATAAAATTCATAAACGAATAGGTGCTCCCCCAAACGTTCTCACAACCCTCCTCCTCCACCAAAACCCGGGGCTGGGGGCATCCCTTCATTTCTTCCACACCCACCTCTCCAAAAGTTTTAAAAATTACACTGATTCTTTCTTATTTATTTATTTTTGCGGTACACGGGGCTCTCACTGTTGTGGCCTCTCCCATTGCGGAGCACAGGCTCCAGACGCGCAGGCTCAGTGGCCATGGCTCACGGGCCCAGCCGCTCCGCGGCATGTGGGATCTTCCCGGACCCCGGGGGCACGAACCCGTGTCCCCCGCATTGGCAGGTGAACCGTCAACCACTGCGCCACCAGGGAAGCCCTACACTGATTCTTTTAAATTTTATTATATGGAAGTCATACACAATTAATGTAGAAAATTTGGCAACTACAGAAAACCAAACAGAAAAATTACAACTACTTTATTCCATCATTCAAAGGTAACTACTATTATTAACAATTTGGAGTATGTCGTCAGTCTTTTTCAGACTGTTTTATGTATAAAAACAAAATTGAGGTCACATAATATACACCATTTTTATAACCTTTTTAATGTTCAAGGAGCATTTTTCTTTCCAGTCAAATGTTCTTCTATGTGACTTTTAATGGCTGCGCAGCACTCCACCCCACCATCCGGATGGATTTACAATAATTTACTTAAGCAACCCCCTCTTGCAAATTTCAATTATAGCAGAAAAGAAATCAATTCCCAACCAGATAGTCGCTTCTCATTTTTCTCTACCGCAATGGGATGAACATCCTTTAAACTAATCTTTAATTATTTCCTTAGGATAAATTCCCAAATGTAGAATTACTAGGTCAAAGGCCATGGAAACTTTTAGGATGTTTGATACATATTACCAAACTGACATCAGTAAGGCTGTACCAATTTGTACGCCCATATGCAATGTAGAGAGTGTTATTTTAGTACTCCTTTGCCTATAACTGGGTCTTATTTTTTTCTGTTATAGTTCGCTACGGGAAAAATGCTTTCAGCTATATTTGCCTCTCTTTAATTACTAATGAAGCACACATTTTTTCCCACACATTCAAATCCATTTGAATTTCTTTTAAGAATTTTCTGCATATGTCCTTTCACAGCTAAATTACATGGTGGGGAGAGGTGGAAGCAGCAGGATGAAGCCAAGGACGCTTTAACATGGTCCCACATCTCTGAGGGAGGCAGAACGACTGGAGAGCAACCGAGAATGAAGCAGATGGCTGGAAGCTTGTCCTCGATGGAGGCTGGCCGTCCTCCCTCCTCCTGGGGCTCTCCTGGCCTCTATGGGCCCCCCTCAGCAGATGTCCAGACAGGGCCCTGTGCTCTCCAGGCCTGGTCCTTCACTAGTCTTCTGCCTGCCTCTGTGTTCCCAGGCTGCTCTTCCTCATTTCTGCTCCATGATGGGTGAGGATGGCAGAGCCACATACCCAAGGCTGGAGGGAGACACTGTGGCCAGTGAAGCGAGGAGGGGAAGAAAGGATGGAAGCAATGTCTAGGGACAGAGTGACCCTTGTGGCACCCTATGAGTGGACTCAGTCTACCCACCCCCCTCTACCGCAGTCCCACACACATCCAGCTTAGGCTGCAGAAGGGTGGGTTCAGTGATCTACTCTGCCCTAGATCTGTTTCTCATGAATGGAGAATAGGACCCAGCTCCCTGCACAACTTCTGCCCCCAAACGGAACAAACAGCTTCCTGTAACCCCTGAACTTGGTCACCTTCAGACAGGGAGACTGGGCCAAGGCTGAACCACACCAGAGCCTGAGCCTGAGAGTGACATTAGATCAGGAGCTGGGGGTGGCAAGTTTACTCTGCCTGATGCCCCTAAAGGGATTACATCCCATAACCTATCTCTTCTGGTTGCTGGAGGGGAGAATTTCCAGCGTGCACAGGCCTGAGCTAAATCTCACACACTATCCTGGAAAAGTGAGTGGGGGAAGAGAGCAGTGGCAGCTGGAACCCATCAGGGGCTGCAGCCCTGCTTTGGGAGGCAGGGGAAGCCTGGGCCACCTTTGATTGGTGGGAAGTCAATGCAGAGACTGATTTCCCAGCAGCCCCTTGCATTGGTCTAACCCTAGTCCCTCCCTCCAACCACCACCCCCAGCTCCTGGGGTTCTGGTCAGGGATGGGGGAAGGGCAATAGCTTATGTGAAAAGCTGTTTTGTTCCCACCCACTTCCGAGGAGAGCCCAGGCTCTGAGTCCACACAAGTGGGCTTCTGATTCCCTCACGCATGCTCAACTGTGTGGTTCCCCACCTCACGGGTGGAGAAGATGAGACAGGAGGTCTAAGGGTCTCACATAGAGGTAAGTATCCCTGAATCTAGAGTCTGGGCCAGACTAAGGAAATATGGGGAAAAATTAAGAGCCGGGGGATGACTACTCAGCTGGGAGTCTCAGTATGACCTTTTCCCTGAAGAGGAAACTTACTTTTGAACTTGGAAAGGCCAGTAGGAAAGAAGGGGGGCCGAGGAAGGAAGGAGGGTCGGGAGAGACATCTCGGGAAAGGGGTAGGCAGGGTTTTCTTTGCTCCACTTCTTCCCATTGTCATACAGAGACCAACTAACCTTGGGTGTAGTCAGAGCCATCTATTCCCCAATTCAGCCAAGGTCTCTAATCTGAAATTTTCTCTCCTGCTGGCTCAATCTGGGTGAAGGTTCTCCAGCTGAATAGGGTTCCCTTTCCCAAAGGTATCATCATGCTCGCTGTTCAGACCTTCCCAGACCCAGTTCTGCCACCTTCCAGATGAGGGGAAGGCAGCTCCTTCTCTTCTTCCTCCTCCTCCTCGAAGCCAGGGGCAGAGGGCAACAGTTCTTCAACTGGCAGCTTTAGCTGGGTCAGGACATAAAGCTTGCCACTGAAGAACTACTGCGGCTCAGCCAGGTGAGGATGTGGGAGGTACAGGTGCCTAAAGGGAAAGGAAGGAAAAATGGGAAAGATCTGAGCAGGGCCATGTTACAGGGACACTGTTGCCCTGGCCATCAAAGTGCAGCCCCAGAAAATGGTCAACCTTCTAACGAAGGGCTCTTGGCTCTGACCTGAGCCCCTCAGTGAGAGACAAGAGGCAGCTCTCAACCTATTTCCTTGCTCCTCTTTCCAGAACTAAAGGCTGTAGAAACCCATATCTGCTCTCACCAACCCCCTCCTCTTGCCCCAGCTACCCACAGGGGCCCCCAGCCTCCTCAGCACTGAGAGGGCAGGACTTGGGAGCCTGGACACACCTCCCCAGTCACCCAGGTATTAGGTGAGAAGTTGTACCTCAGATCCAGAAATGCGAGTTCAGGGATCAGCCCAACTGACTTGGTCCCAGGGAGTTCAGCTGGAAGAAGAGTTTTGGGGGCTTACATCTGGGGAAGAGTGAGGAGGGCAGGAGGTCTAGAGTTTGGAGAAGGCGAGCAGAGGCTCCTGGGACTGTGAGGAGAGGACAGGGGACCAGAGGCTGGAGGGGAGGGAGGCAGGGCAGGGTGGTTGGGCAGCTTCCCCAGGACTCTTAAATGCCAGGCATTCCGCTTGCACATTCCGGGTACATCTGGTATGAATTCCAGGCTGTCTGCCGTCCCCTCCATGTCTGAACTTTGTTCCAAGTTCCAAGCCCCGCCCCCACAGCTCCAACGCATGAAT